TGACTTGTACATCGGCTGGCCCCCGCAAGTCATTGTATAGGCCACATCGCATTCAAACGCCACTACGAATGTACAAATGGAAGTAGAATGCGTGCCGCATCCCAAAAGGGATTGATCAACGGCAAATGCTTTATCCTTTATTTTTATGCTTTATTATATTGCATCAAATAATTTGTCTGGAACCAGCAAACTATTGAGACCCTTTTTTACGTCCATATATTCTCTGCGGATCTCGTTTGTCTTGAAAGGCGTCAACAGAGAGCAAGTCTAACCTGGAAAGTCGTTCAGGACGTGGAACGCTTTTTTTTAATGGCTTTTTGCGTGCTACAGGGGCAAGTGAGGAGAACCATTTTTCTCTGAGCAGCCCTGGAATTGCCACAAAAAACGGCAGAAAATTTTCCTTAGGAAGCGGAAGTTTCACTTTTTTAATAAACTTACAGCATTTCTAGCGTAGTATAGCTACATATTGGAAGCTTTTGTTTACTTGAAATAAGTGTTCAGACATACATGAGCATAAGAAAGAAGCAGAGTATACGCATAAAAAACGAAAGCTGTAAAAATTTGTCTTTTGGGATCGAACCATGAACACTGGTTTCTACATGTTTTTTTTACATTCTCAGAGCCGCTTAGAAAAAAAGTGACAATTCTCAGTTTCTGCCCATGTCTCTATGAAGGCGGAAAACCGTTTTTTGGAGACGCTTCAGGTTTTCTGAAAGACTTTCGTGGTGAGTCAACTTACATTTAGAAATAGAATAGTTCTGGGGAGTATTAATGTGTTGAAATGCACGAGCCAAAATCGGCGCCTATTCATAGAATATTAAACAGCTTTCCGCGGTCTGAGTAACTCCTTCTTTCGGAAAGGGTAGGAACGTCAGACGCTTCCACAAGACCGACACTGGTGTGCAAAACCTAAGAACGAACATCAATTTTCCCATGACATGTTACTGCCGAGTAACACAGCTCTATAGAACCTAACCGCACATTACCGGATCTGCATTTCGTAAAAGAACAGGAAGCAATTGAATTTCACAAGCAATTAATAAGTTGGTCACTTCATCTATCTGGTCTCTAAGTTTTGCACACCAGTGAGTTGGTCCCAGATACATCCGATAGTGAGAGGAGAAAAAATTTTTCCAGCAGCATGGGTAACTTCTTGGGTAGGAAAGAATCAGTTAACGATTGATGTAGAGGGAGACCACTCATGGTTTCAAAAGGGACCTTGAATCTTTGATCTTGGATGAAATGTTAACAGAATGGACAAGCGTTAAACAGAACCCTTTTGAAAAGCTAGCTCCGCGAATGTTACTTATATTCCAAGCTGGAATGTGGGGTTGAGGGATGTTTGTCACGCGGACAATTCTAGCGGTGTTCTCGTTCTATAAGGTCGTCTCTAACAGGATTCCGATCGGTGCCGGGTTAAAGCAGGGTCGATCTGCCTCGCCATCACTGCTAATGATGTTTTTGGTTGTCAGTGTAATTTTCAAACAAGTTCTTCATCATATCACGACCGCAACGAACAGGGCATTATACGCATCCCCTGCGTAATCGACCGCTATCGCCTTCTCGAAAATTCTTCCATCTCTTTTGTATAACTCAAATATCCAGTGAAAAGTGCAAAACTAGCTGAATGGGCTAACTAACGCTGGAGTCATTCTTAGACTACTGTCTTTTTTCTTCTTTTTTTGTGCAGCTGATACTACGGTTTTTTTTTGCAATTCTCGTTAACGTCATAGCTAAAAATCCCTCGATAAGGAGCGAATTAAAACCTCCTGAGCTACCCATCAATATGACTTGCCCTGAGACGCTTTTTCTATGCAGTTGAACAATTCCCAGCTATGTGCCGCAGTTGCTTATAGCCACGTCTGTTGGTGTAACAGTAGTGACTGGAAATTACCGTTGCCATAGTCTACTGTAGGTGAAATGATTCGGAGTCCATAGGGAAAAGGTGATCACTAGTGGTTTCCGAGCTCTTTTTTTTTATCCTAAAAACAAATATTTCCTTGAAGGTTCCTCGCTTGGGTAATCAATTCATTTCGTAACCGAATCGTCGTAAATGCTTCAAACTCCAAGCGGAAGATGAAATGCTTATTCTCGCCTTCTTCTTAGCTTCCTCCGTAAACGCTAAAAAACCGATTTCAGTGATTTGTGTAATGCGACGGGGGGCCGGAAGGATTTGGTATTTGCTTTGCTCTTTTTTCTTTTTCTTTTTATTTTTTTATTTTCTTTGTTTCCACTTTTGTTTTCTTCGTTTATGTCGCCAAGTATTTTTATTGAATTTGTGACGGAAATAAACTGGGTCCACTTGTCCATGTCTGATTAATCACAGCGGTAAGGGAAAAAAGCGATTTCAGGTTCGGTAGTGGATAGAGACTACCTGAGAAGAACAGCATGCGAAAGGAATCCGAAACTGTCAATCTGTCACGCGATAGAAGATGCCAGCCCGTCACGTGAGATTTGATCTTCGTTTTTTTTCTGCCTAACATGAACAAATCTTTTTTTTTTCTTTATTTTGAAAAACTACGACACAAAAAATCCAAGCTCCGATTACCTTCCTTTGAATGCGCCATGGCAAGCGGCTTTCATTCGATATCGTAGATCCATTCGAAGACGTAATTGGCTTAAGCCTAGAAATAATGAGTTAACTCATAGATAAATCAGCGTCTCTGCCCTTCTAGTCGAGTTTTGTATCAGGTACATACCTGATTGCGAAAGAATGGAGGACCCGGCTGGCTTAAGGGCGATTCGATCGTAGCTGCGCCTGATAGAGCTGCACTATCGACGCCCACTTGCAATCATTGAAAACCTATTTAAAGGCTTAATTATCAGCAAATTTGCGCCGCCGGGCGGGGGGGGGAATTGGATGGATGTCAATATTGAAACATTGAAACAGCAACTAATTAAACGCGGCCTGTGTTCAGAAATCATAAATATGGTCCTCATCCAAAAATCGCAGACCGGACGGGTTGATCGCCTGAAGCTGAGAAAAAGCAGGTGGTGGTCTGTTGTGTGAAGAAGTGTGCACTACCACATCATGATACTCTTCGGCAGGGGTTCGATTCCCGGCCTAGCCCATGCATTTGGCCAACACCCTATTTCACTATTGTGGCTACGGTTTCCGCCAAAATTATCGAGATTGTAAATGACCGCTGAGAAGGAAAAACTCGAACTGCTTTCCCACGGAACTGCATCGTTCCACTAGAATGGAGCGAGACACTCACAACTCTCTATGACGTTCACATTGGAACGAACTATTACAAAGAACAGGAACTGTCAGTCATGTGTCGTTAACAGAATCCTCGTATGAGTCGTTGTTTCGAGAATCGACTAAAAATCAGATTTTCTCAAGGAATAATTATCAAATTATCTCTAAACGTACCAGTTACAGTTCATCAGGTTGATGGAATATTTTGTAGCCGTACTCGTTTTGAAAAGACCATGGAAAGGAACAGTATTGAAAGTTGAAGAAACATCATCCCCATCTACCGTTCGACCCCAAACTCCAGCAGCCTGTCGACTCTGTTTTCTAAGATGGGTGTGCGTTGGGACTTCAAGAAATTCGGTGCTATCGCAATATGCGGGGCATTGCGGTGGCAAAGCATTTTGAAACCACGTAAAACATCTCCTTTTTGTTGAAAATTGGACTCAGCCTTAGGCAGGGGAGAAGAGACTCCAAGTGCGTGAGCCATTTTCATTTCTTCCCGGCTTTCCTGCCCCTCTAGGCTTAGTCCTGAAGGATGCCCCTGTATATTTCGATAGCGCCAGAAATTGTCATATATGTATACTCATCCTCTTCTCTCACTTCGGGTCGGCTAATTAGAACCAGGCTTCTTCTGAAGGATGAAGTACATTGGCATCAACGATGGCTGGTTCCGAAATTCATCGAATTTCTTGTACAGGCCAGACACGAAACGCCTTCGATTTCCACTTTGAAGCTCGCATGATGCTAAGCGGATTGAGATGCAGATTCCTAAGAGGGTGTTCGGCGTCAACATTTTAACCCCTCCCATTTTATTTCTTTATTTTTGCAAACCTCCTAGAAGATTGTCCACAATACAGTTTAGTTTCTTTCACTACATGGTTACCTGAGCTTGGTCTGACAGGCTAACTTTTCATAAAAGCAGCCCTTTCTATCCTGCGCATTCATGAAAACTGAAGATATACTGTTTTCTTCATCGAGTTTTCTCCTATCCTACCAGCTTTCTGATCCTGCGATTGCGTTTATCCCGCGAAGAATCTCGAGGGCCGGACTGCTCGCAGTGGCGCGAGACAAGGGAAAAGCAAAGTCAATGAGGCAACTCCGCAAAAATTTCTTGGAATATCCCTTTCTGAATGGGGCCAAGTTCCATAAGGGACAGGTAGAGCTTGCGCCTTCCACGGCTGTGAAGCGCACAATAAGGGCGCTAGGGCCTTGTCAGTAATTTCACCGCCATGGACTCCCATCCTATCAACTTGTAGGGTTCCTGCCCACCCATCTCGTGTAATCGTCTCTCCAAGTGGCACCCTCTCCTTTGGCAACGTAGTATCTTCTCATCTGCAACCGGCGCAATATAAGTGAAAGCTGCAGTTTTGTGCTCTTTCATAGCTTCAATCGCTTATTCTTCTGCTTTGCTTTCTTCCGCTCTCTCCACGGGTTGATTTTCCGGGGCGTGATAGTCAAAATTTTTATCATGAGACGAGCCTTAGCGCTGAACTGGGTGTGTAGGATTGGCATAATCATTGACGCCTTGACAGCAATGATACCATCCTTGATCTCTGGTCGGAAATCGAAGGCAGAACACCGAATTCCTTCTCTTTCCCATCGATTTCGATAAGAACGACCAACAATCAAACCGTCTTGCGTTGAAGGTCATGAGAACTACGTGCCCATTTCTTCTCCATTATCAGTGGCTTGACGTAGCGTTCAAAAATGAAACCCAGGTGTCACAAATTTTGAAGTTGCCATTCCCGTTTTCCGACTCCTCATGCCTGAAATCGTTTTAAACTAGGCGCGAATTTCGCCCGCATACATAGAACCTGCCAATCGACCACACCCACCCTATACCGAAATGCGCTCTTTTAGGACACCCTTCACTACCGGGTTTTGATTTTGGCAACTTTTTATGTTTTACAAAGACTACAGATCTCATCGTTGTTGAGCGGAGACTTTCCCCACACGATTCAAAGGAAGGACTTGGATAATCTAAGGGCGGCTCCCTCTGAAGGGTTATATTGGGGGAGCTTATGTACTCAAATCGCTCTACGAATTTGAGGTAGAGCTTGATGTTGTAGAGTAACAGGCTTTCCTGGTTTTTTTTTTTTTTGGTTTTTTTTTTTTTTTTTTTTCCGTACCCTTTTCTGTCAAGTTATTTCACCTACCTGCTCGGGTCGATTCGACTGAAATGTTTGGTACTTTTTACTTGCGCTAATGAAGTTCCCCTGCTAGATAACAGCTCTTTTTTAAGCTTTACAACCACAGCATTATCGGATTCTCTCCCCTTGATCCCTGTAGGATACGCCACGCACTCGAATTTTTCTCAAAATCGTAGTCATCGGAACGCCTGCTAGTCTGTACCTGGTTGGTACACGCCCAATGTCTAAGCCGATGTTGCATTTGCCTCAATGGTCTACTGTGACGGATCAAAGCGGAAGAATGGGATTATTTAGCACTAGCTTAAGAATCGATTAACATTTCTCGAGCGTGCGAATAGGGCGGCTGTTACGAGCCGCTAACTACTGCTTTCCTTTTAATTGCTGTTCACTTACGAGTAGCCGTTACGAAATATTTCATATATTTTCATAATTCTCCTCCTCTAATTCTTGCCTCCGCAGAGCATTATGAAATGATCTAATTTCAGTTGTAACGCCACCTCCTTTACCGGCTGAAGTAACTAAGGAGGCGTCGAAATGGTCCAGAAACAGCCGAGTAAAGGATGGAACTCTCGGAATTGAACGCACAAGTGTTGGAGGAGTCTCGAAAACTAAAGGTATGACACAGTGTAACTTCTATGACTTTACCGTTATGTGTTCGTTTGGACGAGTAAGGAAATCCACAGATATCATCTCCGCGCGCGTCGGCACGGCTGTGCTCACTATCTTTTGATAGGTTGCGTGTTTCGCCTGCCGATCTGTCCATCTACAAAGGGTAGCTTATATATCAGCTCTGCAAGGTGCGATGCTAAGAAGTGAAAAAGTGGGGTCGCGTCACCGCGCCAAGGTAAGTGGTCACATTCCAATCTGCAATTACGGGTGAGCCAAGCAACTTCCCTTCGTTCTGAGTACCTATTCGGCAACAAGACCTATCTAAAGTGAGCAGCTGCAAAAATACACTTGCTGGTTCTCGCTGTCATTACTTAGACTAAATTGCATTGGCAGCAAACCAATCCAAGCGACCGATGCGTGTGGCGTAAAACATTCCAAAAAGACTACTCGATCGGGCTATCCCAAGATAGGGGGCATTGCCAGCGAACACTTAAGCCAGGGAAGGTCAGAAACGTCGGGAATAATGAAAAATGTTTCAGCGGCACGCCTGAGTCCGTCTCCTTCGCCCAGCTTTAAGCATCCGTTTTCAACGAAAAAAAAATATATTTTTCACGTGGTTCGAGATACATTCTCATCACAATACGTCCGGATATTGCGACAGCGCCGACTATTCCACTATGATTCGACTATAATTACAGATATTCTTTTCTAATTTAGGACTGGCAACCATGGGGCTGTCGATCTATGCATTGTAGTGGCCTTCCTTCTGGAACACCCTAGTGAAGGAAATCAAAATTACCGACTTGCCCAACAAAAGGAATTTAGTTAAAAGGAATAGGAAAGTATGAAAGGGTCCGGCGTTGATAACTTTAATTTGATGCGCTACGCCACGCTTTCCTCTTCCGTTCAAAATCATAGTCGCATTTGACGGCGATATCTGGGTTCAATAAATCCCGAAGCCAGTCAATATACAGCCACGCTTTTGTCCTTACATATGGCTGACATCATCGAAAATGACCCCCCCCTTAACTTATGTGCTCTCAAAATGGTGCTGGTGCTGGGAAAATATTAGATGCCTTCAACTTGAAATCCAGTTCCAAGCGCCTCAAAACGTCTACTGACAACGATTCCATGAGCAGGCGTAGCCACCGCGCGACATCTCTGAATGGAGCGGCGATCTGCCTTGTCTTTCACAGATTCAAAGACTTGATTATCCCCTGAAAATAGAGCAATTTCAGGGTACTCCTGCCGCAGAGGAGGATACCGCCACTCTTCAAGCAAAGTGTTTGCGAATGGCTCCCATTGCGCAAAAGGTGACTATCCGAATCTTCAATCATTTCTTCCAGGTTTTTCACTACGCCGAATTGAACACGCTCCACTTACTAGGATTGCTTGAATTATCTGGACGTTTAGATTGATATAAGCAAAAAATGTAGTCAGCTCTCGTTCAGTGCCAAATCCTGATTGATTGTTTTCAGTTACCTTGAGCGATAAAAAAGCGCTAACAACACGCGCATGTGCGTCCGATGGCGCTGCTACTTCAACGACTGCACTAGATTCTTCGTGAAGCCGCCCACTGTATTACCGTTGGCTCAACGCCTTCAGTTCCAGGCGGTATAGTCTTTCAACGACTTCTGACATTTTCCTTCGTTACATACCAAAAAAACATGGCAGCTGAACCTTAAAGACACATTCCACGAGATGTTGTAGTATGAGCTAAACTAATAGAAAGGTGCGCTTATGCTAGAAAAGGCTATGATGGCCTCTCATTGCTGAATAGGGCCAGGAGAGAAGATATATAAGTCTTATGGTGGATCTACGCGCCCTCTCAACCTCGCACCGCCACTGGCAGCCGGCTTCAAGTGCTGTATTTCTGCACTCTATCTGTTATCTATCTAACTGCTGCAAGGAGCGACTTTTTATTTCTGAGCATGGTCCTAATCAATGTGCGGAAATCGGACCAAAAGAAGGCCAATACTATTTATGAGCATTTCTTTGCCACGTTCTTCATCTTTAGATTCACGACCGCCCTAACTATTTCATTTTCTATTTCCTACTGTTAACTATTCTGGTGTAGTGAATTGCTTCCTATAATAGAGTGTGAACTCCGGTCGTCTTATTTCCTTGCACGATAATTATGATAATCTAGTTTTATTAAAATAAAGTTGAGCTAGCATAAAATAAGCGTAGCATAGCTAATATGTGGAGTAACCCAAAAGATCTCACTAGTTAGGGCGAACTTCAAGTTCATTTAAGGTTTGGATCAGTACAAGATTTCCATTGCAATTTTCAGGTCAATTTGAACTTCGCAACAATCGGTGTTACGGGATCCCCTACTATCCAATCAATGAAGAAGGCGGAGTGGGTGTGGGCGTAACGTCTCACATCCCATTCGGATCTTGGGGCGGAGGTATTCGATCATGTCGGAAGTAATCGGGTAAGTTGATTACGGTAATTCACTTTTTTAAGCAGCACCAATTATACCATAAACACTTCATAAACGATCAGCTTTAGCTAGACTATCAGAAGCTTGAGCACAACATTAAAAAAAGGTCGTAGGCAAGGTCGTAGGCTTGTTCATAGTTGAAGCAGTTGAAGCACAGAATGGTCCCCCACGTCCCTCGCAGATTTAGAATGATGATAATCGCTACCCCTATCCTAACCTCCTATTCGCCCATTTTTGGTCACTTATTTTCCGGAAACGCAGAGTGTGAACGCAGGCCAAAGGAGTCACCCTGTTTAACGGCCAAGAATTGCTTTGTACAGAAAGTTTTTGGACCATGTGGGTAGGCGGCAGTTCGTAGCATCTAGACAAGGCTCAGGCTCACCTACACGCTGTTCTGTACAAGTGATCAAGCGATCGAACATTACTATGCTTCTCATTTTTTGAACTATGGACTCTCCTTTTCCACCAAAACAGTCGCCAATTTCCCTTGCTTTCTTGTTGGGAGGTTAAGTCAGTCAGCGCATTATGGGGAGTTGAGAGCGCACAGCTTCCGAAAGCAAAATCTTCAGTCCAATTTAGAGGAGGAGATAAGGTCGGAAGTCGAAGAAGAATAAATACGCCTATTCGGAACGCAGGCAGACCCTCAAGAGTTCGAGACCATGCGCTAACAAGACTATACCCGCGCCGCTCGCGCCGCGGCACGCCCATCCTCTCGCCGTATGGCTCTGGCCGTTCAGCAGAGAGAGCGCGTTAGCATTGATGAGGCCAGCACCAATGAGACTAGCCTAATGCGCGAATCAGTAGGCAAAGAATTTCTCAGCTTCCAGGCTGTTTTTCATGACTTTTTCCATGCCTGCTCACTAACCACCTCTACCTTGATTTCTGATGGTCTGCCTTTTCATTGTGAACTCCGCCTTCAATATATCCCTTATCAGTGTTTGCCTGAAAATTCAATTCAATTGATTTCAGTGATTACTGGTCGCAAAATCAAGAAGTCGGAGCAAATTGGTATGAAGGAAAGTACGGTTACAAGAATGGGTGGTCCGTCCCGTTGGTGCAGTCATTAGGTATAGAAGGAGGACAACATAACGTGGTGTCTGTTCCCCTTGATCGGCGAAATATGGGCAAAATTATGGTCGACAACGGATACGGTGTAAGTTTCAGCGCAGAACTGGATGCGTGGCGTATCTCTAAAGCGCCCGCCGCTTAATCCATTCCGAGATATCATCTATTAACGAACTGTTGATGCCGATTTCATGTTTAGGTTGGCCCCTACTACGGTCACAATGATCATGTTGGTATCGACTGGAAGAAAGGTGACGTTCAACACACTTTTGGTGTGGGCTCTCCGTTTGTCGGTGCTGGCTTCGATACCGGCCAGGCAGTCTCATTCCCAAGTATTGAAACGTTCATGAGAGCTGGCAGAAAATAAGTAGAACTACTTGTTTTTGTTGACACTGTAAATATGTAAATTTATATTCCCTGTACAGATTTCGAAATAATAAATTCATATTGGTATCAATGTGCAAAATTGGCTGAATGTGAGCGGTATTGTAGGTCATCTGTCCCTATTTGAGTGCTGTGTGGAAAAAAGTCATGCGAAAGATCCCCGAACACGCTTTCCTTTGTTTTTCTTCCAGCGAAAACCATGGATTCTCTTCTATAACCCAAACGAAAAGGGCCTGACCAGATACACAATTCTTGTCGGTGAAGGTCTTCGAATAATGCTCAAAAAAAGAATGTACTCGACGAACACCACCATTACCTAAAGGCACACTCCACGATAAATTTAAGTGGATCAATCTTTGCAGCATAGGTGGGTCAACAGGTGAGGTGTTTAGTAGTATAGTCGTGCCCATGAACATCCCCAGAGTGCGGTCCTGCACCTGAAAAGTATGCTATTAGGGGAGAGAGCTGTGTCGGAATGCTTACTTGTGCTTCTGCGCGGTGCGACTATCTACGTAGCGGGATCTCTGCACCATCTCGTCCGTGTTTCTTTCGCTTGTCTTCTTCCCACGGCGTTCAATATCTCTTCGTCTCAGCAGCCTGCCTTAGAAGAGCAGCGGTTCCTCAATTGCCAGTGCGTTGAGGTGGATTTTTGCTCCTTTGTTTCCGCTTTTACCTCGATCCATCTTCATTACGTGGTGAGGACTTAAACCAATCTGATCATAAGGTGGGCTCCAGCTTGTAATGCAGCGATACATAGTTCTCAGTGGTTTTAAAGGTGACATGGGGTGCTCAATGGTACGCCAATGGCGAAAAAAAAAACAGAGAAATTCTTCAAGAAAACTGAACCCCCTCGCTTGGCCACTAATTTACTCTCGAGATGCAGCTGTTCACTAGTGGGGATATATAGACCAGGACTCTTTCAACGAAATTCTTGTGGTAGTTTTCTAAAGATGTGTGGATGCGTAACCTCATCCTGAGTCCCAAACCTGAAGTTTTCCACCACTGGAACGAGTTTACCAGAGAGTAGGAAAGGTGCAGTAAAACAGCTCTCTTAGTAAACTCATTCCAGTCGTGTCGAAACAACTATCGCTTTTCGACAAAATAGCACCCCTTCTCATGCGAAGGCTTACGAGCAAGTGGGTACAAACAAACTTAGGGCGCTTTATAGAATGCCAGAAAGAGATGCACGAATAAAATTTGATCGAGGACTGCACTGGAAAAAACTTGGTCAGCAATGGCTGCGCGCAAATTACTCACAAGACAACACAGTGGCACAGTTGAAGCAAGGGATTCCCATGATGCATGGAGTCCACTGTTGAATTTAAATTTATGTATATAAAATTTGCGGCACGTTTTTCGTTGTGATGGATAGAGTGGTTCTCCTGAGTGGTCCGGCTGAAGACTAGAATGCCATTGAGATTCGTGCGTAATTCTGTATCTTATAGCGCTTGAAAGAGGTGTCCTATGATTTCCCACCGGCCAAATTTATTTGTTCTAAAAAATTATGGCTAAAATTATGGACAACTAATAAGCTGATAGCTTGAGAGTATAGGTTTTTTATAAAGAGACAAAGAGGTAAGATGGTTAAGATTTCACAGGTTGCTATGAATGATGATTCCTAGAAGCAGAGATAATTATATTTTTTGGTGGTGTCCTATGATTTTGCACCGCACTGTATCAACAGTAAGCATTGAGGAGCTTGAGCCACTTATTTCTCCCTCTTCTCTTTACCCTTGAAAACCTTCCTACCGTTCCACGGGATTGAGCGAAGGTGGCTTGAAGGTACTAAAAGGAGGCTTGTCTCCGGGAATGGCAAATGCTCTTCTTTTGTAAACTTCATGCTTCTTTTTTGAGGTTTCTGCCGAAATCGCCGAAAACTCGTAAAGAACGATTTCCGCCAACTGACCGCTTTTGACTTCCATAATGTACGACCGCCCCCCCCCACTCGCACTTTTCCAGAGTGCGTGGCCTGCGGTCAATGTCATTCCGAATCACCTCCCTTTCCCAAATCGCAAATACGACCCTCTCATTGAACTTGGACCAAAATAAGGTCGACGCTTTTTGGTTGGAAGAGGGCGGTCGCTGTCGCGCCGCGCGACACGTCCGTGTCCTCTCGGTGGGCATTATCTGAACAAGGATCCGATGAGCAAGGAGGATGTAGAGGTTGGGATAGAGCATCAAAAAATTTGCGAGGATAAACCAGGCGAGAGGGCGCAGACCCAGCCACGTAAGCGATCCTCTCCCGCTCTCTCCACCAACCACGATAGCGCGGTCCACCCTTACGAAGTCAATTATATGATATCACATTCATCGGGTCTCATCCGGTAAGAGGGGGCATTGCGGTGCACGGTCTGCTCTAATGCCAATTTGGCTCAAGGAGTCCTTTAAAGTTACGAGCTGCTATCAGCTTTTTTTTATGTTGTTTTGTGTAATGTTTGTGTATGTATGTATTCTTGTACTAGATGACATTAACGTCTACGAGAAGTGAAATTCACCTAGTTAGCAGGTCAGGACTAAGCCCAGGAGGGGGAGGAAGTCCCCCGGGGAAAGCCAAGATTGCTCACGGATCCGGGGACTCCTTCCCTTAGTCCTGAACGTCTACAATAAAATAATGTGCTTTCCATGGTTTTGAAATGCTCTAGTATTCGCTATGCCCCCTCACTGGAGAGACCCCACTCATCTTTGAAGATAAAACACAAGTTCACCTACTAACTGGCTGGGAAAGGAGCCACTTGCCGCCGCGGCCAGTTGCCCGAGATTTGTACGACGACATGGCGCCAGACCGTTGCATCTCTCAGAATTCGTTTAATACCGTCTCAGCGCCGAAGATAAGAACCTTGATTACGGAAAAGCCTCTATGCAGTACGCTGCTAACTTCGTTCACAGCCTGCCATCTTGGTTCAGTGCACTGTGGCGCACTTTACATGTGACATTTTTGCAGTTTTTTCGATGCATGTGTCTTGTAGCAATTTTCACTAGCACTTTCCAGGTTAAAGTCATGGACGGGATTCGGTGATTATGCAGAAAATGTAGGTTTCTCTCTATTTTTGATATTCAGCATTTAGAGAACAAATGTTTCAGTATTAAACCCAAGCGGAAGCGGGTCGCCTATTCTGAGCGCTTCGGAGGTGTACGCTCTTCTCGGTCGCGTAAGTATTTACTGAACAACTCACTATTTCTCAAAGATGCTCAAATATTGTAAATTAAAGTAATTAATAGTAATATTTGGCTTGACTTAGAGCCAAGTTATGAAGTGGCCTATTCACTTTATTGCCGCTTTAGTCCTTCCCCCTAGGCTGGTGTCAGAGTCCGCGAATCGCTCTACGGATCGCGAACTCTGACAACAGCCTAACGACATGAGCGCCAAGAAGCGTTTTTGGAGTAGGGGTTAGCGTTAGTTAGCAAGGTTAGGGGAATGATAACGCTTTTCATCGCTAATCAATGAAACCAGGGGCGGTATTCAATCCTTCCCCCAGGGGTTGGGGGACGAAAATCCCTTTAAATTTTCTCCGTCTTCCCAACTGGGATTGTCCTGATAAAGGGCCTAGGTTTAATGTGTATTTATATGTCACAGTAAGCATGCATTGAAAATGAAGAAACTACATCGTTAAAAACAAATAAATTTAAAGGGATTTCCGTCCCCCCAACCCCTGGGGGAAGGATTGAATACCGCCCCAGATCAACTTTTCATCGCAGTCAAATGAGACCAGATCATTCAGATCAAACATGTCTATTATATCTATCGTCGCTGAGCCACTCATTGTTGGGAACCCTCATTTGCCATTTTCTTGTTAAAATTTTCATCAATCTAATCGCCTAGTAAACGCTCCTTGTCGAATTGCAAACGCGTCACGCTAGGTTCCTTTCCCTTTCAAAGTTGTTACAGCTCAAGACGGCCCAGTATTCTAGCGTGTATTGTCACATAAGCTTAGAAAAGGCTCTGGGATTGACTCATTCGTAACATTCTGTGCCTTTCGGAATCATGGGAAACCTCCAGAATGGGACGGTTTTCCTGTACGGAAAGATATAAAAGGTCATTATAGCGCTAGTGTTCGATGAATTTGAAACAAGTCAAAAACTTTAATAGCTACTGTTCGAGGTAGAATGAGCAGCCGTCCCGATTTCAGGTACTGTCCGGCGATCGTCTGTGACCCCCTTCAGGGACAAGTCAGACTCGGTGAATTTCATTCAGCAAAATGTGGCAGCTTCGCTTAGCGACGACTACGAGACGAGACGTTCATTTTTGAATCAACTGGCTTCTTATATACAGGAAACTCGTCCTGATTCACTTAATGATGCGGCGTTTTTCGAGGAGTTGTGTCTGTTGTGAGTTATTCTTCTTAACCATTAAGTCTGGTCTTTCTATATAGCAATGTCGGCTCTCAGCTTACTCGCTTCTTCAGCTTTCTTCCTCTTTTTCTCTACCTCTTTACTATGCCATGAAGATTCGTTTTTTGCAGTCTTTGACGTCCTGTTTTCATTACTGGGTAAGGCATCACATGAGCTCCAAGTGATCACATTTCGCAGAGGTCGCCTGTAGTTATCACTGTTCCAAACGAACTGTAAAACTATGCACTGTTTATTGAATCGAAAAAGTACCATCTTGTGATAAGCAGGGCTCATTTTGCTCTCCAATCCTTCAGTTGTCCACCACAAAGCGTGTACTAGTATCGGCTAGCATCATTGGGGAGGGTACCGGAGCCACTCCTTACGTCTGCGGTTCAGTAAAACTGAATTTTTCCCACTAGGAGAGCCTCCCTTTATTCTCGGCCCCTACCCTACGCCACATCTATCGATAGTCTTATAATTTCAAGCTAAGTAGTGCCGTTCTTCATTTCACAAGTATTGAGGAACTGAGCATCTCTGTTGAATTTCAGACTTGTGCGTGTGCTCCGAGACAATCATCCTGCTATACGTGCAATGTGTTTCCATCTTCTGCGACTATGCTTGTTCACGGAAAAAAATTTGATATGCATACTAACCAGTCAAGCTGACGTTTATGCAGTACGGTGAGATTCGTTGTCGTTAGAAGTCTTCCTATCCTGTAGGTCATCGTTG